TTATATTTTAACCCTTGGTCTGACATGTTTCCTGTATCTTACACACAGGCTTCTGTTGAATGGAAATATTTTCTGTGGTGTTACCATTAGCTTATCTTTGCTGAAAAGATTCAAAACCTAAATCTCCTGGCAACAAAAACAAGAGCAGGCACTGTACTCTGCAGACAGAGGTCTGGCTATTTCTGGCAGTGTAGTGTGTAGACAGGGGTCCGGCTAGTCCTGGCAGCATACTGTGTAGACAGAGGTCCAGCTAGTCCTGGCAGCGTACTGTGTAGACAGGGGTCCGGCTAGTACTGGCAGCGTACTGTGTAGACAGAGGTCCAGCTAGTCCTGGCAGTGTACTGTGTACACAGAGGTCCGGCTAGTCCTGGCAGTGTACTGTGTAGACAGAGGTCCGGCTAGTCCTGTCAGTGTACTGTGTAGACAGAGGTCTGGCTAGTCCTGGCATGCTTCTGCTGCCAGGTGGCCTAGAATCAGAAGCTGATGTGGATGAAAGCACTACCCTACACAAGATTCCAACATTTTTTTTTAAGAAAAGCGTAATTATGCATGTGTATATTGTGTATATGCCATATGCACAAGGAGGTAAGAGGTGTCAGATCCCGTGCAGCTGGACTTACAGGCAGTGAGGCACCCCATGTGAGTGCTGGGAAGTGAACTCAGATCCTCTGCAAGAGCAGTATGCACTCCTAACCACTGAACCATCTCTTCAGTCCTAAGTCCTGACAGCTTTAAGGTTACTGGATTCAAATGAACATGTCAGGAACCCCGAGAGTCACTGAAGTTGGCAACTTCCTGCTCCTAGGTCTCTGGCAGGAAGGCCTTATTTTTAATTCCAACAGAGCCCCTTCAACTAACCTTAGAGTCATGTAGACCTAGACACCTCATCATTTGGAACCATAAGCCTATCAGCAGCTTCTTTAAGTTAACCAATCTAAAATTAAGGGAGGGGAAACCTGGGAAGGTGGTTCCCTCTCCACTATGGAGAGCTTCACATTTCTGTATCAGTGTATATGCATGTGATTATCTTTCAATTCATGTTGGTTTGCCTGTTGCTTTCTGCTGTTCTGGGATTCTTCTTGTCATTTAATTTTTTTTTTTTTTTTTTTTGGTCTTTTTGAGACAGGGTCTCCCTATAACCCCAGCTGTCCTGGAACTCACTATGTAGACCAGGCTGCCTTGAACTCACAGAGATCTGCCTGCCTCTGCCTCCCAAGTGCTGGGTTTAAAGGCGTGCGCCACCACGCCCCGCTGTCATTTAATTCTCTAATTGGTGGAGGAAAGGAACTCCACAGTACCCTAAACAAAAGGAATAAGCACTTCTTGTGGAATCTGTCAGGCTTTTAAGTTGGATATTTGGCCTCAAGCAGCTTTGGCAAACATGCACTACTATCTTGTCAAATTCTAGTATTCTAAGAATATGTAGCCTGATGACCAAAAACATAGATGCCTGTGTTTGGACCCCTCTTGTGAGTTCTCTAATATTTTTCTTGTTACTCAGGATAGTTTTGGGCTATTGTAAGTCATCTGTATTTTTGGGGTTTTGTGAGGTTTTTTTTGGATAGGGTAGCACTGTGGAGCCCTGGTTGGTCTCAAACTCAGAAGCCTGTCTGCCTCTGCCTCCCGAGTGATAGGACTAAGATGCCTGGTTGTTCTAGTTTTTTTTTTTTTTTTTTTTTTTTTGGTTTTTTTGAGAAGGGGCTTCTTTTAGTTTCTCCGGGGCGGGGACTCGCTTTTTAGAAACAGGCCCCCCCTCTCCCCCACACGTCGGG